ACCAAAAGTCCCAATCAACTCAGAGATTAATTGTGCTCATTATTGCAGAACTCAGAGATTCGTACAAAACAATATGAGCAGGAATTTTGGCTTGTCAACAGAGCTGAAACATAAAAAAAAAAATGCATACTTTCCAGTTATCAATCAACTCCTGTGCTCTTTTTGCTTTTGCATTGTTTTCGTCAGTTGCAAGTTTCTGGATAAAAAATTTGAAAGCACTATGTTCTTTTTGCTTTCCAAAAACTTTTGCTATTTTGGATCTCCATGTTAAAAAACCAACAAGTGACCACTTAAACGATTCTGTATTTTGAAAGTATTTTCATATAGATTACTCTGATCGTGGACAAAATGACGCAATAGGGTAAATCAGTAAACAACCAGTCACCTGACTTAAGCCACACAAGTCCTTGGAACACAGCAAGTAATAGTCATTCAATATAAATGTTACACGAATAAAATTATTATCGTCCACTTCAAAAAAAAACAAGTTAATTAGTTTCAACTAAGAAAACTAAATAAATAAAATAGTAATATTTTATTTAAATAAACTTTTATCTTCTTTACCCAAAATTATTCACTAATAACAAAATCAATTCATTGATCCCTATTCATTCTGATCCACGCAAAAACAAAAATAATTGTTATCACCAATTAAAATACACTCTCCCAAATTTAATTGGTGACAGTATCAAGGTGGGATTTCTGTGAAAAATCTCAACACTTATATCGGGTATAACTGGTGATATCATTTTAATATAACGTATGGATGGGTACTCCTTAAATTATTGCATCATCATCATATTATTATACAAATTTTTATTTATGTTATTTTTTTTTTATATTATTTGTATTTCTTATCCATAGCATAATATTATTATATATATTATTCAGGCACATGATATTTTATTAGTGGAGCTAGTAAGGCTAAAATACATATAAAAATACACACATACATTATTACCTTCTAACACTGGTACTACCAGTATCTTCTTGGAAAGATCTGATTTATCACTATTGAATGCCAATTGTAATTGTAACCCTCCTACTGTTAGTTGTTGTGGATGTCCCAGGTTTTCAATGACATTGTCAATATTGACTTTAATGAAATGAAAATGATGAATATGAAGTTGAAAGTATTCTAGACATGAAAACAAAACATAAAAAGAAATTTTATCTTGTGA